TTTAAGGCCCAGCTTGACAAAGCCCTGGCTGGGATGATTTAGTTGGGGTTGGTCCTGCTTTGAGCAGGGGGTGGGACTAGATGACCTCCTGAGGTCCCTTCCAATCTTGATATTCTATGATTCTCTGTTTATACACAAAGTCCAGGGCTGCCCCGGGGGGGGGGGCAATTTGCCCCAGGCCCCGGGCCCCACAGAGGCCCCGTGAGCCCTGGCCCAGCGGCGGTCCGGGTCTTCGGCGACATTTCGGCGGCAGCGGGCCCTTCAGTGCTGCTGAAGACGTGGAGCGACTGAAAGGCCCCCGCCGCCAAAATGCCGCCGAAGACCCAGACCGCCGCCAGGTGAGTACAAGCGCCGCAGCTCCCCGGCTTTGCCCCAGGCCCCCTGAATCCTATGGGTGGCCCTGGCAAAGTCCCTGCCCCAAGGGCAGAAGTTGGTAGCAGCACAGAGCTCATCACATTCCACACTCAGGCTCTGCCTCCTTGGAGCTGAGCACCCCTATTTTTTTGCTGTGGGTGCTTGAGCCCTGGAGCACCCATGGAGTGGGCGCCTATGGACACAGGGCACATTCTTCCACAAGAAGGTTGTTGTCTCATATGGAATTTGTGATCCACTCTAACCCCCAGGTCCGTTTTAGCAGCACTGCCACCTAGCCAGTTATTCCCCATTGTGTAGCTCTGCATTTGATTTTTCCTTCCCATTTGAAGTCTTTACTGAATTTCATCTTGTTGGATTCAGAGCAGTTCTCCAATTTGTCAAGGTTGTTTTGAATTCTAATCCTGTCCTCCAAGTGCTTCCAACCCCTCCCGGCCTGGTGTCATTTACAAACTTTATAAATGTACTTTCCACTCCATTATCCAAGCCATTTATGAAAATATTGAGTAGTACCAGACCCAGGACCAGTGGGACCCCACTCGATACACCTTCCCAGTTTGACAGTGAACCATTCATAGAATCACAGAATCATAGAATATCAGAGTTGGAAGGGACCTCAGGAGGTATCTAGTCCAATCCCCTGCTCAAAGCAGGACCAATCCCCAGCTAAATCATCCCAGCCAGGGCTTTGTCAAGCCTGACCTTAAAAACCTCTAAGGAAGGAGATTCCACCACCTCCCTAGGTAACCCATTCCAGTGCTTCACCACCCTCCTAGTGAAAAAGTGTTTCCTAATATCCAACCTAGACCTTCCCAACTGCAACTTGAGACCATTGCTTCTTGTTCTGTCATCTGGTACCACTGAAAACAGTCTAGATCCATCCTCTTTGGAAGCCCCTTTCAGGTAGTTGAAAGCAGCTATCAAATCCCCCCTCATTCTTCTCTTCTGCAGACTAAATAATCCCAGTTCCCTCACCCTCTCCTCATAAGTCATGTGCTCCAGCCCCCCTAATCATTTTTGTTGCCCTCCGCTGGACTCTTTTCAGTTTTTCCACATCCTTCTTGTAGTGTGGGGCCCAAAACTGGACACAGTACTCCAGATGAGGCCTCACCAATGCCGAATAGAGAGGAATGATCACATCCCTCGATCTGCTGGCAATGCCCCTACTTATAAAGCCCAAAATGCCGTTAGCCGTCTTGGCAACAAGGGCACACTGTTGACTCATATCCAGCTTCTCGTCCACTGTAACCCCTAGGTCCTTTTCTGCAGAACTGCTGCCTAGCCCGTCAGTCCCTAGTCTGTAGCAGCGCATGGGATTCTTCTGTCCTAAGTGCAGGACTCTGCACTTGTCTTTGTTGAACCTCATCAGATTTCTTTTGGCCCAATCCTCTAATTTGTCTAGGTCCCTCTGTATCCTATCCCTACCCTCCAGCGTATCTAACACTCCTCCCAGTTTAGTGTCATCTGCAAACTTGCTGAGGGTGCAGTCCACGCCATCCTCCAGATCATTAATGAAGATATTGAACAAAACCAATCCCAGGACCGACCCTTGGGGCACTCCGCTTGATAACTCCTCTTTGAGTATGCTCTTTCAACCTGTTCTGCACCCACCATACAATAATTTCATGGAGACCACGTTTCCCTAGTTTGCATATGAGAATGGCAGGTGGGACTGTATCAAAGCCTTACTAAATCCAAGATATATCAAGTGTACTGCTTCCCCCAGCTGTAATAGGAAGAGAGCCTAAGATATGAGCCTTTATATCAGAGGCCTGGTATGAGGCTCGAGCTAAAGTAGTGGACAAGCTTTGCTGATATAAAGCAAAGTTAGCAAAAGTCAGGCTGTGAGCAAACGTCAGGCTCTGCCCCATTGCAAGTTCACAGAATCCGGCAAGAACAGGGCTGATATTGCAGAAACGCACATTCCCAAAGAGTGCTAGGCACGGAGCACTCACGCAAACACGTTCCAGAAGAGTGGTACCAAAACATCCCAGTATCAAGGATGGTACAAAAACATTCCCCAAGGAGAACAGGAACACACTGACCCCTCCTAAAAGATAAGGTCAGGATGACAGGGTGATGGATAGAGATGTTTTAATTGAACCAACATGTTCAAGGAGTTGGGTGATAACTACCCACGTCAGGGAGCAGTAACTATGTCAGGGGGCACTGCGTAACTTGTTTCTATCGGGGTATGAAGAGGTATCTCTGCGACAGTGTCTTGGTCCAGTTGAGGGGGGAACGGAAAGTCCCGCCATTCACTGAGCTGGTTCATTGTCACGGGTATACATGTATTAAGTGTACTTGTAGAGTCCTCCAGGTGCTATTACCGTGCTTTGTCGACAATAACCTGGCCGGGTGCCTTTGCCCCTTAACGGGTCTTGTGGTCATTGGGTGGTTCACTCGAGGTCAGTTGTGCCAGCTGTTTTGTGCAGAGCTGGGGCAGCACACAGAGAGAACACACACGCAGCCAAACATCTAACAACACCATCCACTAGGCTAGTGACCCTGTTAAGGAAGGAATTTAGGTTGGTTTGACATGATTTGTTCTTGACAAATCCATGCTGACTGTTCCTTACAACCCCATCATTCTCTTGGTGCTTACAAATTGATGGTTTAATAATTTGTTCCAGTACCTTTCCGGGGACAAAGTCAGGTTGTAACGATGCTGGTTCTGGCGGGACCCAACTGAGACTATCAATTCAGGACAAATTGCTCAGAGCAGGGCAGTTACAGCCCAAGGCTGGGGTTTTTCCACCTCTAAGGCAAACCAAACCAGCCAGACAGACAGGACTTTGGTCTCACCCCACTGGCTAACCACAAGTCACACAAGCAATTCCCTTAGACACTCCAGTTTCCCAGTATCACCACCAGTGCCACTCGTTATGGGGACGAATGGTTATGAAAACCAAACCCCATTAAAAGAAAAAAAAGGTTCTCTCGATCCCAAAGGACCAAGCCCCAGATCCAGGTCAATATACAAATTAGATCTTACCCACAAATCACGCTGTTGCCAATCCTTTAGAATCTAAAATCTAAAGGTTTATTCATAAAAGGAAAAAGATAGAGATGAGGGTTAGAATTGGTAAAATGGAATCAATTACATACAGTAATGGCAAAGTTCTTGGTTCAGGCTTGTAGCAGTGATAGAATAAACTGCAGGTTCAAATCAAGTCTCTGGAACATCCCCAGCTGGGATGGGTCCTCAGTCCTTTGTTCAGAGCTTCAGTTTGTAGCAAAGTCCCTCCAGAGGTAAGAAGCAGGACTGAAGACAAGATGGAGATGAGGCATCAGCCTTTTATAGTCTTTTCCAGGTGTAAGAAAACCTCTTTGTTCTTACTGTGGAAAATTACAGCAAAATGGAGTCTGGAGTCACATGGGCCAGTCCCTGCATCCTTTGCTGAGTTGCAAGGCGTATCTGCCTTCTCTCAATGGGTCAATTGTATAGCTGATGGTCCTTAATGGGCCATCAAGCAGGCTAGGCAGAGCTAACACCAACTTGTCTGGGATGTTTCCCAGAAGCATAGCATAAGTTTGAAATACAGACAGTATAGAGCCAATATCCATAACTTCAACTACAAAATTGATACACACGTATAGACAGCATAATCATAACCAGCAAACCATAACCTTGTCTTAGACACCTCATTTGACCCCCTTTATACAAGATTTGGTGCCACTACAGGACCATGGTTGCAACAATGATCTATATGGTCCCAGAGTATATCAATAACGTCACACAGGTCTATAATTCTCAGAGTCCTCTTTGCTCCCCCTTTTAAAGATAGGCCCTGTCTGCCCTTCTCCAGAACTCTGGGACCTCGCCCGTCCTCCTGGAGTTCTGTGAGATAATTGCTAACGGTTCTGAGACTGCTTCAGCCAGTTCCTTAGGTACCCCAGGATGAATCATGCTGAGGTCCTAGGGGCTGTTGCCAAGAAGAAGCTCCCCCTGCTCCCCCCACGGGGAGAGGCACTTGGCAGCTGGCTGAAGTGGTCCCTGTGTGTAGCTGGGGTAGAGCCTGGAATCCTTGGGGTGAAGCTCTACAGAATGACAGAGACCAGGTGGGTGAGGTCCTATATTTTATTGGGCCAATAAGAGGATTGCCTCACCCACCTCGTCTCTCTAATCTCCTGGGACCAACTCAGCTACAGCAACACTGCAAACAGAATGAGAGAAATATTAACTCCGTTATTTGTTTAACTCCCTTCCTTCCTCCCAATCCTCCGCCCCCGGCCCCCAGGGTGAGGTTAGATCAGGAGCTGGAGCCACATTCAAAGTTAATGCACAGCCAGGCCATGAAGTGTTTCCTCTGCCCAGCAGGGAAGTTGTGTGTAAGGGCTGAAGACGACACAGAGCCCATCAGCCTCCCCCCCCACTGAGTTCCCCAGCCCAGTGCCCGGCGTTGAGTCCTGGAGTGGGTGATAAACGCACTAGTCACAATGATAACGGCCCATGGGTGTGAAATCTGTTGGAGAGCAGCCAGCCCAGCCCAGCCCAGGCCCTGTGGAGGTGACAGCCGGCAGCCTGTGGTGTGGTAACAACTCATGTGGCTCCGCCAAGGTGCCCGAGAGGCCCCTGTTCAAAGCGTGTCTCAGACCCCTCACCCCCATCTCACTCCTGTGTACAGAAAAGTGTAAAGCTCCAGACACCCGGGACGCCAGGGTCCGGTTCGCCCTCAAGCAGCAGTTTTACAGCCCAGGGGACTCGGTGACATGGAGCTGCCCTGCGGGGTACCGGCCCTCGCAGCCTGCGATCAGATGCACTAGACGGGGAAGCCAGAATGTCTGGAGTGGGACAGCCGCCTGCACTGGTGAGTGTGAGCCCCGGAGTCACCGCGATCACAGGGCTCCGGCGTCCCCCCCC